CTGAGTCCAGATGAAATGGAGGACGGAGGACTCCCACAGCTTTCTTCCAGCATATACCTGAAATCCCAGTTTGAGTTCAGGGAAATGGATGGGCAGCTAGCGATACGTGTTAGCTGGATCTTAATTATCCTGCAGAGCTAGGGCTGCAAAAGGCTGAAGCGTGCAGCCCAGCAATAGTTCCAGCTTTCCACCCTCATCAGACATTTCTAACTGAGATTTGCCAACCAGCAGTAAGATTGATTGAGCTTTAAACGCTGTTGCTTTCCTCCACCTGGACTCTCGGGGACATGCCAGGCATTGTTGTAGCTTGAAAGTAAGCCAGAAGTCAGCCAGCCATCTGTGCGTAAACATTCCTGCGTACACAGCTGGCCCGGCCCAGCGTCTGTGAGAGAACTGGGCCCTTGCCCTGAGATGCTGGGGCTGGGTGGCCAGCTGCCATGGGCTTGAGAATTAAAGGAAGAGGAACAGGTGATGCGGTGATGCCTTCTTGCTGTGTTTGGTAAGGTAAGATTTAAAAGCCTCTGTATCTTCAGAGGTTTGGTGGACTTCTTAATAGGGGCTATCAAGCAGGTGGGTTTTTTTAAACAACCTAATCTGATCTCATCAGAGCTCCAGGAGGGCAGGAGCCCTCCTTCTTATGACTCCTACAATGTGGAGCAAAAGAAAGACAAGAGGAACACATGATACATTAATCAAAACTAGTGTATTCTGGGCTTCCCTGGCGGCGCAGTGGTTGAGAGTCCGCCTGCCAATGCAGGGGACACGGGTTCATGCCCCGGTCCGGGAAGATCCCACGTGCCGCGGAACGGCTGGGCCCGTGAGCCATGGCCGCTGAGCCTGCGCGTCCGGAGCCTGTGCTCCGCAACGGGAGAGGCCACAAGGGTGAGAGGCCCACGTACCGCAAAGAAACAAAAACAAAAACAAAAAAAATCTAGTGTATTCTGTTAGAAGTCAGGTTCGTGGTTACCTCTGGAGATGGGGGTGATGTTGTTATGACTGAAGGGGGCACAAGGGGAGCTTCTGTTCTTTTTTTTTTTAAACTGGGTCCTGGTTACACTAGTTTGACAGTTTGTGAAGATTTGAGTTTTATTCTTTTTAGATGTGCTCTTTTCTGCATGTAAATGAAACTTCAATTAAAGTTTAAGTCTTTATTTTTATTTGTGTATCAAGTTGCTCATTGATACTCAAAAAAATCTGTTTAGTTGAATCGGGTTGAAATGACGTAGAACTAACTTACTACCTAGGTATTAAGAAAACATCTTTACCTGGAATGGTCGTGTCTATGTGGACTGAACTGCTATGGTCATTTTTTTATTCTCCTCAAATGTATCTTAAATGATTTCAGTGTAGATTCTCCTGGAAATAAAGAATGATGTCGCTTTAGTTCAGCAAACATTTAATGGACAGCCTCCTGTGAATAAGGGGCAATGCTAGCTCTACTAGCTGGGTGCAGGTGTGGCACCACCTCTCCCCTGAAGGAGCAGATGAGCGATAAAAGGAGGGATAAAGTGCCACAAGAGCACCATGGGGGAATCACAGAAAGGACAGGCAGCTTTCTGGCAGGACTAGGAAAAGATTCATGGAAAAAGTAGCACTTGAAATGGATTGTAAAGAGTATGTTGGATTTTGGGACCTTCCAGTGCAGGGGACGTGCGTTCGATGCCTGGTCGGGGAGCTAAGATCCCACATGCCTTGGGGCAGCTAAGCCCGCATGCCACAACTAGGGAGAAGCCCACGTGCCGCAACTAAGATCCGATGCAGCCATAAATAAATAGATAGATAGATAGGTAGATAGCATGTTGGAGTTTGATAAACAAGTGGATGGGTGGCCGGCATTGTGAATATCATGCATGTGAACTTTAGGTTGCGTGGCTCACTTAAGATGACCGGCATCCATCAGGTGCGAGGTGAGGCCTGAAAGGTAAGCTGTGCACTTAACAGTGACCAAGTTGTATTACATAATTTGGGAGGCACTAGGGAGCCAAAGAGATTCTCTGTGAAGTAGAGTAGCACAATCAGATTGGATATCTTCAGTGAAATCGAATTTCCAGCCTCGTGGTTGTACCGTTACCGTTAATTACCCTGTCTGCCCCAAACAGACATTTCCTGGGCCGGGTGCATCCTTTGTTGCTGTAATTTGAGCCCATTCCTGTTTGGGCCCGCTTGGCTTCCATGACCTTCCTGTGGTCATCTCTCCAGGGCCTGAAGATGATGATTACGTACCTTCTTTAGCCTCTGCACCTGTCCTTCCCCCTTGACCAGGTGAAGTCACAATTCCTTTATTCCTTTTTCTAGTCTTATAGTGATTTGGCATTTATTTCCTTCCAGCCTTTCCTATGTGATGCTCTCTGCCAGACAAAGCAACCAGGGTCTCTTATGACAAAGCTGTGTGTGGGAAGAGAGGGGTCGAGAAATAACGCTAACAAACTTCTGTAAGTTGTGAAAGAGGCCTGACCCACCGACCTGGGATTGTGTCCCACTGTACCATTGGGCTCCCCCCTTTAGGAAAAAGCCCTGGGTAGCCTTTTTCATATGGCAGAATGTTAATGCTCATTGTTGGAAATGGTCCACATTTGAGCCTGAGTCACTTTGGCAGTATGAGGTCTGTTATTATCTTAGCGATTTTTTACTATGTCAGCCTCTTCTCTCCTTAAAAAAAGCTAACTTGAGGGCTTCCCTGGTGGCGCAGTGGTTGAGAGTCCACCTGCCAAAGCAGGGGACACGGGTTCATGCCCTGGTCTGGGAAGATCCCACATGCTGCGGAGCGGCTGGGCCCGTGAGCCGTGGCCACTGAGCCTGCGCGTCCAGAGCCTGTGCTCCGCAACGGGAGAGGCCACAACAGTGAGAGGCCCGCGTACCGCAAAAAAAAAAAAAAAAAAAAAAGCTAACTTGAGCTGAATATTGTCCTGTCTCCCATTGTTTCTGTCAAGACTCTATATCAAGGCATTTTGCTAATCAAAGGGTTGTTAACTTGAAAAAAAAAGATGCTTCAGTTTAGATCTTAAGTATTTTTGTTTAGAGACTGTGTTCAGACTCTATAAAGACCTGTTTTTAGTCCTCTGGGGACAAGAGTAGTAGAGTGTCCTGAGGTGGAAAAAGGACCAGCGTTAGGGTGACTTGGATTCAAGTCCTAGCTCTTTAAGTCTCTGTTTCTACATGTTATATGGATGTAACACATTCTTTGCCTGCCATGGTGGTGAGGCTCAGACAAGGCAAACCCTGTGGACATTCAGTGCCTGGCACGCAGACCACATTTGCCTTTCCCATTCATTCATTCATTCATTATTGTCAGCAACAATACCTCACTCAACAATACCTCATGGAAATCCTTCCAAGTTTCCTAGTATGGTTCTTTTTTTTTTTTTAGTTTTTGAATTTTATTTTATTTATTTTTTTATACAGCAGGTTCTTATTAGTCATTAATTTTATACACATCAGTGTATACATGTCAATCCCAATCGCCCAATTCATCACACCACCCCCCCCCACC